TTCAAAATTCAACTTCTTTCCAAATCTCCTATTCTCAAGCTGAGGCCAACTACTAAATTTTTATTATTTTACTATGAAGCATACCTTAGTTCTAGATCATGTCTAGTGTCTTTAGCTTTTACACATAAAAAAATCACCCATCTAGCTTCTTTTTAAAGTAAATTAATCATTTGCTTCTGAGATAAATATCTCTTCCTTTTTTTAATATACTCTTTATTTTCCTAATATAGTGATATCCAGCAGATTTACAGAGTACTTAAGAGCTAAAGAAATTAGAGTTACAAAAGAAGAATCATACAAATACAAAATCCTGATGTGGTTCTTTAAATAAGGCTAATAATTATATTGATAAATACAAGTATCAAATGACTTACAAAAAGAGACAATTTTTGGTTTCCAAAGTTTTGTGTCTAAGAATTGTATATATTTACAGTCTGTTCAGATGCTTTAGTTATTCACTGGTGTTTGTATAGAAGCCAGAATTATGCCAAAATACCCCAAAACACACCAACACCAACACACACAAGTGTGCGCACACACACACACACACACACCCTATTACTTAAGGTATAGTGAACTATTATTATTATGGCTTTAGGAAGATTTGTTTAAGAGTCTAAAAATGCTTGTAATTTAAATCCTGCTCCAATTCATTAGATAACTTGTATTATCAACCTGTTGAAAAGCACACTGGAAATCGTGGTTTTCAACTGTAGTTATGTGTAGCAATCACCTAGGAGGCTTGCTAAATGCTGATTTCCTCTCCCCACACAAAAGTGTGTGTCTGATGTCTCAAGTGGGGATAAGAAATTCACATTTGTTTAAGATCCCCAGGCCTATTCTAGAGAATGCTATCTGTTTACCACACTCCTCTTCTAGGAATAGGGGTGGTTAACTTAGATGGTTTCCAGATGCAAAAAGATTCATTTTACTTATATTTCAAGCACTAAGTGTGATATCTTAAGACTCTGTTGATCTTTTTCTGACAAAATAATAACTCGTTTAATGAACATAACCATCAGGTTCAGTACTTATTGAAGTAGTTATATATATATTTTTGTTTTGTTTTGTTTTGTTTTTGTTTTTGTGACTGGTAAGGGGATCAGAACCCTTGGCATGTTGTCGCCCGCACCGCGCTCAGCCAGTGAGTGCACCGGCCATCCCTATATAGGATCCGAACCCGTGGCCTCGGTGCTCCCACTGCCACACTCTCCTGGGTGAGCCACGGGTTCGGCCCAAAGTAGTTACATTTCTATAAAGTATATTAAAATATATATAATGATTTCTAACATTTGCACAGTGCTTTAAATTAAAAGTCACCTTAATATATATGTTCTGTTTTCACATCATCTCAAACGAGTGGGCTGGTACAATAATTTAAGACAATTGAATTCTATAGGTTTTTCAATAGGTCAACAAATTCAGGTAAAACCTGGTTGAGTTTCAACCTACCAAATATGTGAGGGGTATACAAAAGGATGGACTGCCTTAAAGAACCACCTCAAATTATGGACCTGTTTCTGTGTCATTTCAATCTATTTTGAAACCTGACTCAGCTCTCCTCAGTGGCATGCTGGAGGAGCAGATTTTAGGGGACAACTTTGGACTTGGGTTTTGGATATATCCTATTATTCCCAAACAAGGGCCCCTCTCTACTGACTGACATCCTTCTTCTCCTGAATGATTCATTTGTTTAGATATTCAAGGAACAGTCTGTTGGTGTGCATTTATCATGCTAAATCTGACAGCATTATTAGAGAGCACTAGTAATCTGCCAGTTTCTTTGAAAGCCTCCAGCACTGACTGCATCAGTGCCATTCACTCAAACAATGGCTTCCAGTGTTCAGATCTTTAACATTAAGTAGTGTGTGATCCCAGACTAAATAACTGGTTTTCAACATATTTGTGTTCTACATTTGAGAGTTTGGTAAGTTAAAAAAATAGAATCTGTAGCTAAACTTTTCAGGTTAGTGTCTCAGGTCTATCACTTTGTATCTTACAACCTTGGAATAATGACTTAAACTCTCTGTGCTTGATATCCCTGAACTGTAAATGAAGTAGTAGTCGTGTTGTTATGAGGATTAATATGAGTTAATCATGTAAATTGGTTTCAAGAGTGTCTAGTACTAGTATGATCCATATCAGAGGGAGCTCTTATTATTCTGTAGGGGTGTGTGTGTGCTCATATATTATTGACTGAGTAAATGAAATAAGGAGTTGAATTAAAATAACTATGACTTTATAATGTGTTACTCTAACACTTTGGAGTTCTTTTTCAGTAGAGGAAAAGCATTGTCTTTTCATTTGTTCCTTAACTCAGCTTTTCTCCTTTCAGTGTTGTGGCCTATTCTTTCTCCTTAAACTTGCTCCTTTTGGACAAGTCTCCACCTTAAGTTGATATAATTAAAGGGCAGCATATATTGCAAAGATTTTTTTTTTATGTCCATACCTCATGATATCCAGAACATTTTATTCATAAACAGAAGCCCATATTAAATTTGAGTAGCTTCAAATTTCCATCATTATTAATGAACCTTATATTTATAGGTACAAACCTTAATCTAGTACATAAATACATCTAGGGTCATAAAGGAGCCATTGTCTAAATATCTTTTATATCTATTTAGTTTGTTACCATTTAAAATTTTTATGTTCTCTTCACAGGTTATATTTTCTTACACAAAAGATTCATGAAATTATTTTCCAATGTTAAGCAGAACATTGTATCTATATAAGCTGAAAGCAACTTGAAACATATTACATGTACACTTTAATTAAAGTTATGTGCACATCTCTTCTTTTACTTGAGTAACATCCTAAGTGAAATCCCCAAATATGTTTTTTTTTTTGTTTGTTTGTTTGTTTTTATTTACAGGGATTGATGCTCATAGATTTGGATCAAAGTATTATGGTTCAGATTACTCTTATTTTTATTTCTTTTTCTTCTACAGTTTATTGCTTTTGCTTCTTTATTCTTCATCCTGGTTTCAATCACAACGTTCTGCCTGGAGACACATGAAGCTTTCAATATTGTTAGAAACAAGACAGAACCAGTCATCAATGGCACAAGTGTCGTTCTACAGTATGAAATCGAAACGGATCCTGCCTTGACATACGTAGAAGGAGTGTGTGTGGTGTGGTTTACTTTTGAATTTTTAGTCCGTATTGTTTTTTCACCCAATAAACTTGAATTCGTCAAAAATCTCTTGAATATCATTGACTTTGTGGCCATCCTACCCTTCTACTTAGAGGTGGGACTCAGTGGGCTGTCATCCAAAGCAGCTAAAGATGTACTTGGCTTCCTCAGGGTGGTAAGGTTTGTGAGGATCCTGAGAATCTTCAAGCTCACCCGCCATTTTGTAGGTCTGAGGGTGCTTGGACACACTCTTCGAGCTAGTACTAATGAATTTTTGCTGCTGATAATCTTCCTGGCTCTAGGAGTTTTGATATTTGCTACCATGATCTACTATGCCGAGAGAGTAGGAGCTCAACCGAATGACCCTTCAGCTAGTGAGCACACACAGTTCAAGAACATTCCCATTGGGTTCTGGTGGGCTGTGGTAACCATGACTACCCTGGGTTATGGAGATATGTACCCCCAAACATGGTCAGGGATGCTGGTGGGAGCCCTGTGTGCTCTGGCTGGAGTGCTGACAATAGCCATGCCTGTGCCTGTCATTGTCAACAATTTTGGAATGTATTACTCCTTGGCAATGGCGAAGCAGAAACTTCCAAGAAAAAGAAAGAAGCACATCCCGCCTGCCCCTCAGGCAAGTTCACCAACCTTTTGCAAGACAGAATTAAATATGACCTACAATAGCACACAGGGTGACACCTGTCTGGGCAAAGACAACCGGCTTCTGGAACATAACAGATCAGGTAAGGCACAATTTCAAATGCATGCCATTAAATACTTTATAGACCAGTGTGTACTGTAGGCAGAAGGCAGCTATTCTTATTTTCTGCAGATGCTCATGAGTTTTCAGTCCTATCCCTTCACAAAATGTGTGTTTGTGTCAGGCTTATAGATGGTTAGACTGTAGCATTTCTAAATGAGCCCCAGAGAGAAGTCTGCATAGCTGGTCTATAGAGTTCTACTGCTTTAATAGGAATGCCCTTTGCTGATGGTGCCAATATTTTCTTTTGCCTGTTTGTTGCTTTTGTGCCAATGTTTCTTTGTTTCCCTGCACGATGTGATGATCCGATATCTGCCATTTTCCATCCTTCATTCTCAAAATGTTGATTTCCATATCGTTGGGCTTGGTGTGTTTGTCTCAGTTTTACCCCTGCCACATGGTGCCATGCATCTCAACCTAATTCACAAGAAGCAGTTATTTAAGAAGAATGGATGCTTACATTTCAAAGGCCCACACACCAAAGAGGTGATATGGAAGTTAGCCCTTTTGATAACAAAGTTCTTCCCTAGCAATGATTAGGAGAATTGATTAAATTTTCATTGTTCTCAAATTAGGTAGGTTATCTCGATCTAACCCTGTTGGTGAAGGAAGAGGTCATGTAATATAATCAGCACACCATTATTCAGGGATAGATGATCTGCTTTGGCTAATAGTTGGCAAAATTGAATTTCTCTGTGGATTTCCATTTGTATGCACTATACGTTGGGCTGTGCTCCTGAGACCTGAATTTTGAATGATTTACTGCTTGAGATTAGCTGAAGCCCTGCTCCATTGCCATAAATTAATCTAGAGTAGATTGAATGCAAATTGATATTCATTTTGCCAGAATGATAGTTAATAGTGTCATCCCTAGTCTTTTATGTCTGGTATAAATAAAATATTTTGTAGATTAAACAATAAAAATTCAAAGTATGTCTGTTCCCTGTAACTTTCATCTTTTTCTTGTAGAAAATTGACTTATGATGATCCCATGTGAATAATTTTGCATAATTTAGAAATAACACCAATTAACAAAGCAAGCAAATGAACAAACAAGGCAGGTGCCATTTTGATAGATCCCTTCTTAGCTTCCAGAAATTTTCATGAAGTAAAGGGGGAAAAAAAATGTGGCTGAAACTGAACTGCTATCTAAAAAAATTTTTCACCATCCTATGCAGAGTCCTTAAAAAGGACATGGAAAAAGAGGATACACTGTCATCCCCGGTAAACA